AACAAATGGTAAACACCACAGCGTACACTATTGAGTTATGGATGCACTTGGGAGGTTTGCTAAGCACTCAAGAAGCTAGAGTCGCTCTCGGCTATCGCCTCGAGCGACTCTTACGCTTCTTTCGTGCTTAGCAACCTCCCGCGTGCATCCATAACTCAATAGTGTACGCTGTGGTGTTTACCATTTGTTAAATAATCATGGGTGTACTGTATCGAAGGGTGAAGTAGTAAGTAACCAAAAATTCCCCGGTCTGCACAGTCTGCATGGTCTGCAGTCTGCGTTTTAACATGACCGTCCCAATACGGGGGGGTTAAAAAGAACGAGCAGTTGAGGTGAGGGGCCATACAGGTCATAAATTGATGAGTTCGGTTACGAACTGTTTCCGAGATACTTTAACAAGAAATAAAATACAAACAAAACAAACTGATGAGTCAAATCAATAAGGGTAGAGTGAGCAACTAATAAAGACGGGAAAACACGTTTATATATTGAAGAAGATGGAGGATAATGCAACCAGGAGTAGCGACAAAACTGCGCGGTTGAATTAATTAAAGAGGAACGCGTTCTCTTAGAGGAATTTGGGAACGTATTTTACAAGGAGTATTTTATGAAGATAGCTCTGGAAAACGCATAGTGAGAGGAAAATTCTGGAAAGCGTTCAAAGGATTTTTTCGCCAACGCATTTCGCGAACGTCCTTTAAAAATGTAACTGGTAACACTACCCAAGAGGTCACTCAAAACTCTCTCTCAGAGTGCGCTCCAACATACGTTTTATGATTGCGTTTCCAAATTTCCTTCCTTTCCAATATGCATTTCTTAAATGAATTGCAATAAGTTTCTTAAAGTAAGCATTTCGGCTTAAACTCAGTTTTCAAGGACGATTAATGGTATTACCATTAAATTGTTCTTGTTATGATCCAACGGATTCACCAGATTGGAACCTTTGGTCAAGCTACCACGGATTTTAAAATTGCCACAAAAGTGATTCTAACCTTTTTCCACCGTTCTGCTCCCAGCCCCCTGCTCTGAACATGATCTCCGGGTCTACTGAATTCCACTCAAAGACTCCGTAAATTGCAACAAAGTTAGTTTATTTTTATTGTTGACCAGGCTTATCTGGGAAAATTCTGCACCTGCTATTTCAGAGTGAGCATGCGTTGTAAAACTTCTTCGAATTTGTAACTTGAATTTACAAAATAGACCATAATCAATAACCTCAGAGATAAAACATGATGGTCTAGCTAGAGAGCTGAACGCGAGCCCTGTGTAAAAAACTTGCAGAAAAAAATTAATAATTTTCGATACCCTGTTATAAAATGATAGAAATATTGTGCGCTTAGTGTAAATGGAAGCATTATTGTAGGTTGAGATGAAGGGAGTTTCAAAAATAACTTTGATTTTATTCATAAGTGAACTCTCCAGATTCACCAGATTCTAAGGATTCTCCAGATTCAGCAGATTCCTCGGACTCGCCAGATTCCCCAGATTCCCCAGATTCCCCAGATTCAGCGGATTCCCCTGACTCGCCGGATTCTCCGGATTCAGCCGACTCCCCGGATTCAGCAGATTCCCCGGACTCGCCAGATTCCCCAGATTCGCCAGATTCGCCAGATTCGCCAGATTCCCCAGATTCAGCGGACTCCCCGGACTCGCCGGATTCTCCGGATTCAGCCGACTCCCCGGATTCAGCAGATTCCCCGGACTCGCCGGATTCCCCGGATTCAGCAGATTCCCCTGATTCGGCTTGTGTCCCTGTCTCCTCAGAATCAAACAAGCTTCTTCGCCTTTTTTCTTGGCCTTTACCAGATTCTTCAGAAGCTCCAGATTCTGCAGGATTTCCTGAATTAATTGAGTCTTTGTCTGGATTGAAAGATAAAAAAGAGGTCACCATAAAAAAATACTGGAAATGCTTTCACCATTGCGCAATTTCATATAAAATGCATTTTGCTGATCAATGTAAAAGGCCAACGGCCAAAACTCGTTGGTAGACAAAATCATCTCAATGAAGGGTTGGGAGACAGTATCTAAAATACACTATCGACAAAATAACAAAACATAGCGTTGCACGACTCGGAAATATTATCAATAAGTAATTGTTCGATGAGGTTGAGCATGATATCATGATTTATCAATGACGAAGTCTGAGTTATCTGACGAAGCCGAAGGCTGAAGCAGACAACCGTGACAGACACGAAGTTTCATAATCATGATATCATACGAAAACTGAACTAAATAATTCTTTTATTACACATTTTACAAACAATCTGCAAAATAAGACAATTCTCTCTGAGTTTGCAAAAACTTGAGAACACGATACCGACGAGGGGCTTGAAAACTAGGAAGACGTCGAACTCGCCATGATAACCCAGTATTAGCTGTAGATAATGGGTTATCATGTTAACTTCACGCGCTATACATGGGTTATTTACCAAGCGTGAGATTAAGATGGCTGGATATTTGCTGAGGTCTTTTTTGCGTTTTTATGGACCGAGACGATGACGAAGTCCATAAATACGCAAAAAAGGAATGAGGCTAATATCCAGCCATCTTGACCGCACAAGTTTGGTCTATAAAAGATTTATTATATGACAAAAAGATTTCGCTTGATAAGAAACAAGAATGACTTGTTTTCGGAGCCAGGGGAGAAAGCCAACCGGCGTGTTCGAAACGCAATAAACCCACGAGGGTCGTTTACGTTTTCTTTGTTTTGACTCACGTCCTCTGCCGTTTTTTGCGACCTTATCACTGACATTGTACAAAAGTTACGAGTTTTGTAATTCCGCTCCACGAACTTGTTTTCTTGCGAGGGATCAAAGCGGGCAAACCCAAGTGCGCAGGATGGGCCCATCTTGATCGCTTGGGTCGCTAACTCAGAACACAAATTCGCTTTGTATTACCCACTAAAAGAACTTTTAAGTTCTCGAAGTTATCATGCAGAGATCAGGTCTTGGCATCTTTTGCTATTTAAAGTGAAAACTTTAAAGTTCTCAAAGATGTCATGCAAAAATCAAGTCTTGTTATCTTTTGCTAATTAAAGTGATCAAGGTCACTATGATTATTACATATTAGAAAATGCAGCAAATGGAGTAAAGATCGGCGCCAGAAGCGGACTTGCTTCCACTGGTTCGCTTATCGGTTATTCGTTTGTGATGAATCAGGGATTTTCCAAGCAAATGATGCAAGAACAAATTGTAGAAGGATATCATTTCTGATACACAATATAATTCTCCTTTTACAATAACATGTTATTTTCCTATGATTTTAGCAGAACTGAAATGTTTACTTACCATGGGGCCTTGACGAACAGCATTGTAGAGATGAAATCAACACACAACAAAAAAGCAAAACATTTGAGACCTTCATGATATCTTTCTTGATTCTGTTGATTCAAGAAAAATAATTACACGTTATATCAATTTTGTCTTGTCAAATGTTTAAGCCAAACTGGTCAGCATTGTGACAAAACCGAAGATAAGAAAAGGTACGGCTATTTTGACGCAGCAGAAATTAAGAAAACTTGTTGGAGAAGTATGGAGCGGAACATGTATTTTTTAAAGTTTTAATTTACGACATATATCAGGGGATTACGTTTATTCATGAAGTAGATTTTTATTTTGGGATGCCGAGGGAAATTTTTGTACACCATTAAATGACACAGGTCGGTAATTAAACTTAATTTAATTTCTAATTTCAAGTCTAACTTTCGACTCGTTTTATTCTGATATTCTGACGGTAGATTTGAAATGGTTTATTGACTGTGTGAGAAATATAAAAGATCTATGGTGAAAAAAATTTCACGAAGTACTGATAATTGACCGCGCACATCAAGAAAAACTCTCCATCTGAATTGTGATCTCCAAGTTGACACTTATTCACTCGTTATCCGTACCAAGATTGGTCCCTTGTTCGTGCGATATCGATTTTTCTCGTGAAACACGTTTACATATATTCTTTTGTGGGGTGGCGAACTTTCTCGATAAAACTGGTCTTTCCTCACCATTTATGTAATTTACAATCCAAGAGGCAAATTCTCTCGACAATATTCCTCAAACAAAACAAAATGAAAGAGATCTCTTTCTCTCAGATCTTCAACTCTAACCCAAAGAAAATCAACTTGTGAAAGAAAGGTTTCAATGCAACTTAAACTTTAGCAGAGGATTTTATGGGTCACATTACTAAAACGCAGAATTTGCCAGTAAGCCTTGCCAGAAAAGATGGCTCCTCGTCATTTAATTGAAGAACTAACTTATCCTAGACCTAACAGAATTTACCTATTGTAACCTAAGGATCTAAATATACCATATGAGAGCGACACTAACAATTTGTTGGTTACGAGAAAAGACCAAAAGTTTGCAGCACTTTGTTTAAGTGGTCTCGTCAATCAGTTTACAACGAAAGGACACGGGAATAGCTAATAAAAGCTCTTATACAAGATATGAATACACCTGTAAGGAGAGAACATATAGCATAGTTGCCACGCACAACCTGTCGGTTGATCTCTTTAATACTGTGTTGGAAGTCAGAGAAAATAAGATCAAAGAGCAATTATGCAACAAGTGTTCTTAGTAGTCTAGCCGCAGAAACCAAGAAAAAAATAGTGTTGTTAGATAATCCACGTGTAGAATGTCGACGAAGGGAATAAGTCTTGTCGTTTGCGTGGGCCGATCGTTTAATGACAAGTCTGTAATGGGTTGTCTTCTATTGGGCAAAGTGCAGATAAACACGATGAAGCGTTACAAACCAAAGATTTAATAGATTGAACCATGTTACAAATGAAGAAATGTCGACATTCGTTAGCATAACTTTCTTTATCTCTGGGAATCGTGAGTAACAGAGGTTCCTAACGTATGACAAACATTTCTTGTTCTCAGTGACTGATTCTGCTAAGGTAACGAAACAATGAAACACTTACCTCCACTGTTACCTTGTCGGTAAATAAAAGCTATGGTATGATATTGTTAACAATGTCCTGCTGTTTAAAAGAGGTAAACAAATAATGAAAGACAAATATTCCTTTCAATATATCAAAATTTCGACCAATCAGAAAGAACTTCGTGTCTAATTTCCACAAGCACACCCTACGTGGCTTAAACTAGAATCTGAAAATGGGAATGAATTACGCTGAGAAACACAAGTAGTTAAATAAAAGAAAGAAAATGAAAAAAACAAAAACAAAAAACAACAATAACAACAACAGTTCAATTGCTCAGAAAATATAAACTGCTTACTTCAGATCTGAATTTGCGATACACAGAATTTGTTGAAAACAATTAATTAATCAATGGGGTTGAAAGTACCAGGTAAAAGGCCAACAGGTGACAAAAGCTTTCCTAAAACAAGTTATATATGACTCGAGAATAACACCTCAGAAATCAGACGGAGTCATTTCAATCATTAGCTGGAACCGTCTAGAATTTTTTAAGATCAGCTAAAAACTCGACGAAACTGCCTGAAATTATAGGGAACCGTATGAAACTCGGCGAAACCGTCCAAAACTATGATCGGACGGAGGGGGTGAAAGCGTCCAGCTTGATAGGACAGAACCACATGAGTTAAGCGAACCATTTCAAATTAAACAGAACTGCCTGAAATTTAAAGAGACCTCTCTAAATCAGACAGAAAGAGTCCAAAATCTCACAAACCTGCCTAAAAATAGACAGACGGAAGAGTTCGAAAGCAAACGCGAATTAGATGGAACCAGTATCTTTGAAAATAAACCGAACAGCCCAAATTCAAATGAAAACTTCCAAAATCAGAGAGCCGACTCCATCACAACAGGATGACCACTGTTTATGCAGCACGTTTTCAATGAGTTACATGTTTTACGCGTCAAACTTAATTCGAGACGTACATGTGACGACCATAATATAGCACGAAACTAGATGTTCCTTCCAACAGACTTTGTTTCTCCATCCAGAAGCTTTGTAGTACTTAGGAAATCTACGTTACGGGCTATTCAGTGTAAAATACACCTGCATATGATAACAAGTAGGATGGTCAGCACAAACAATGTCGCCAAGACTCGCTGAGAAATTCAAACCAAGTTACCGGTGACATCCCACGAGCTGGATTGTAGTGATAGTTTGAATGATCTCGCGTTCAAGTTGACCAAGGTATTGTTTCACGTTTTTACGCTCTTAGGTCGATATGTTTAAGAATTGACTGTGATAAAATAAGAAATCTGAGACACTTATGCGAAGAATAAAAAAGGGAAAAGAGCTTTTCAAAGAAAAGATTGAGGCAACTCACGTTCTTTAAGAACTTCAAAATCTTCCACCTTGACTCAACCAGACCGACCAATGCAGGGTAGTTTAGCATTCCATTCTAAACTGTTCATCAAATCAGTTACGTGAAGGATCTTAAATTCTTTTGGTAAAGAAATACATGTTTCTTATGTCAGAGCTCTATGGACTACGCCATGCTTGAAATATCTGATGTTTGTTTTCAATGTATAGAATGTATAGTCAATCTCAGTAGAAACAGAGCACTGGCGGTTTGATAGTAAGGGGCGAAAAGTCTTTGGGGCTGAGTTAGCCTTTCAAAGAAAGAGCTCTTTAACTGTAGCTTAAGTACTTGAGTGACTCCGTCGTTTCTTTTGGTTAATAGCTCTGTATCATCATTGAGATATTTTCACAACTGTGTGACCGAGGTTTGCTAGATTTGTATTACCGCTGACCTGTAAAGTTTTTCATATCGCCGATCAAAGTTTGTGTTTAAAAGTTGCGGTTCAAGGCGGCATCCTTTCTCACGACAAATATCCTCCGTACTGATGACTTGTCTGAGGAAAGTTTTTATTATGATCACAACAAAGAACTCGTACTTTAATAATCACAAACAATGTACGGCAGCCAAGTATCTACA